TTGGATCCTGTTCCGGATTTCAACCATGTTTTGTCTCTTCTTGGATGGATCACCCAGTTTTTGATACTTTGGACTGCGCCCCGGATTTCCCCCCCGGGACTCTTTGGACTTGTTTGCCTTGGCCACGCCCCCCCCCGTCTGTCAGCCCCTCCTGATCCTCATCGTCTCCTCCCTGTTGTCCTACTCCACTTACTTCCTGATTATACCATCTGCATAGGGTCCTAAACTACGCTTCATGGGAGCCTGGACAAGCTCCTGTTACAGTCATAGGGCCATTTTACATCACCGGTAGTTCTGTTGCCTTGTTCTGGATCGCAGAATATGCTGTGCTGCAAATGCCTAGAAATGTAATCTATTTTGTGATGTAAACACAAGTTACAGTATACATTTTACATTTATTGTGGTTTAAAATGCACTCATCGATGCCAGTTCTTTCTAACCCCAAAGATTAAAATTCCATAGCAGTTCTCCTTTAACTGAATACTTGATTGACCTAAGAAGTTGCTTGATTGGAACCTTCGCAAAGCTTTTTTATGCTCAAAATTAGGCAAAACTTGAGTAACATGAAATGCAATAGCTAGAAGACATATGTTCAGGATCTGAAAGCAGTTAGGGAGTTCATGTTAATCCCGTTATTAGCTTAATGAAGGGTTCCATTATGAAAGGGAGAGCTCAGCTGGAACAAGAAGCAGGTGGTGACTGGACCTCCAGGATTAGGGCTGGGATCCCCTGTGACCCACACAGGAAAAGACAAGAACTATTCATCCGTTTACCTGGACAAAGCAGGTAAGATGGGTCGCAGGTGACAGAGTTCCGAGAAGTTGTTTTTTTATGCCAACACGAACAGTCTGTATTTTCTCCTCCTTTTGCAAGTAAAGACAAAGCCTTTCAAAAGAAAAGGTGTCGCATTGAACAGATGCCGATTTTATGTTGAGCTATAAATAAAATGTGAACTAGCCATGAACAAATTCCTGGCTGTTGCCATGTTGGGAAGGGTATGTGAAAAATATTTAATACATGAAACCTGGGGTTAGTTTTTCAGTATGTTATTGTAAAAACATACTAGTAAAATCCCGAAATATGAAACAGAACAGGGAAATATTTAAAGATATTAAAAACTCCCAAAGTTGTTACAGAAGAAGCAAGGTTATTAGACCCATAATCCAGTGGTTACCAAGGTGATTCTTCAAACCAGCATAGCAGAGATGTTTTCAAATAGTCATACCTTTGAATTATGCAAGGTCATATTAATTAATGCGATTATGAGGTTTCTACACATTCAACCAGTTTTGAAACGTGTTTGATGGGTGCGAGCTGATATTACCCAATGCCTCAGGGAGAGTAAAGAACAGTGTTTTAAATAAAAACAGATTAATCTAGCTTTAACACTGATTGATTTTAGTCAAGGCCTGTATAAACTGTGGGAAAAAACAACAACATCAACAACAACAACGTACGTTGTCAATAATTGTTTAAATACGATCGAAATGCATCCCAGGGCACTTTAAAAAATAATCAATCATAGATCTATATATATATGTGGAATCGTTTACCATATTTCAACAGGAATAGATCTTTCCAGTACACAATGACAGAAGTAATGTGTGTTCAAAAACTCAACCCGTTACTCACGATAGAATGCAAACCTCAACTTTTTTTTTTTTACTTCTCGCTAAGTCTTACGATTGACTTCCTCTGTTACAAATAAGCCCATAGTGGAGGTCACTACGAAAACATCGCGGACAGTAATAACAGACACAGGTCGATATACAAGTAATGGCAAGTCAGATCACCCCTGTAAGTGCTGTGGTATAATAATAATAATAATAATAATAATAATAATAATAATAATAATAATAATAATAATAATAATAATAATAATAATAATAATAATAATAATAATAATAATAATAATGCATTGTGTTGCATTTTGCAAGTAAAGTTAGCTATTTCCTCGCAATACAGTATGTGTTCCCACGGCCACAAAGAGCAAGTCACGACTACGCGTGTATGTTTGCGAGATTGAGCGACACTCCGACAAGAGCACCGCCGCGGTGAGAACTGTGGCGCAGGAGGAAAAAAAAAAGTCCTCCGCTTCGGGGCAGCCGGGTCCTGCGAGCATCTCGCACCTTGCGGCCCAGCAGGGAGACCCGGCCCCGGCCCTAGCAGGCGCAGGTCCGGTTCCGCTGCGGAGGCCGACGTCGCTGGGAGCCGGGAAGTTGCGCAGGCGCCGTGCGCTGTGGGTTGGGGTTTGGTTTGTGTGTTTACAGCAGTCAGGCTGTAGGGAGAGAGACTGTGTGTGTATGTGAGACTGGATGTTATGAACAGCCCTCATTCTGGAATAAAAGCAAAACAGAAAGGAAGCAGGTAGGACGTTTAAACCCTTTTTCCCCCCGCACACGAATACAAATTGCACATTGTGTTACTTAGCGGGTCGCTGACGACTGTTAAAACAGGGTACATAACAGGAATAGCTAGCTACCTCAACATGTTAAAAGAGGCCTGCTTGTTTTTCTACGTAGGCCTTGTGGTTTGTTTTTGTCAATTCTAGCTTTTGGGAGGGCTATTTTTTTTCATGCCGGTGGAGTGCAATAACCAGTTTGATTTCTCGTTCCCCGACTGAAGCATTTTAAATTTCAGACGATCTGGATTTTTTTTTTTTAATTTGGAAGAGAAACGCGTTTGGGTGATGATGTAGGTGGACGTTTTGCATGCACACGATTTGAGTTCATCTTTTTTTTTTTCTCCTTCCAGGGCTTGCTAACTAATGAAGCGTTTTTTGGTCACTGGACGTTTTTTTTTTCTCTGCTGTCCGGTTTTAAAATGGTTGACAGCATCTTTTTTTTTTTTTACGGGGTTTTCTTTCGGTTTATAAGATAAATCTGCAGTTCTGCACTAGGTGTGCAAGTAATGTAGCTAAAACTGCACATTGAGATTAATCCATACCGGTCTGCCGTCGTTTCAAAAATGCACAAGCCATTATATGCAGTATTGTAATTGTGAAGATATCAAGTCGAACCTCTTTTTCCTTGTGTAAAAAAAAGGAGGTTCTAGTTGAACTGTTGCAGAATTTTAACGATAATGAACGGTGTGATCGTTTTGGTTGAACTCTTATTTATAAAGGAATGCTGTCCCATATGTGTGCAGATTTCTTTTACTTTGGGAAGACGGCAATGGGTCATTTTTCTGCTCGTTGTCAGTGCTGTGTCAAGTCGTGGTTTTCTGCAGCTCCCAGACAGAGCAAGTCACACTGTAGATTAAAAACGCTCAAAAACTCATTTTCTTAGGAGTATTTAAGTCGGAAGATGCGGCAACGAAGTTATTCAGTTGCAACGGGTTGCAGCTGTAAAAAAAAAAAAGGCGTAGGACACCTATTACGGAATTCTGAAATTGAATTTTTTCAACCGACGTTTGGTTTTTCATTGGTCGACAATGACGTCAAGCTCATATTCTCGGAGGTCAATTAATCTCGGCGGAATTAGGGTTTGAGAAACGCTTTGATTTTTGGAAGCACCAGTACAATAATAATAATCATAATTGCTTACACTTATATAGCGCTTTTCTGGACACTCCACTCAAAGCGCTTTAGAGGTAATGGGGACTCCCCACCACCACAACCACCACCAAGTACAGGTGTCTGCTGGTGTGAAGATACAAGATATTTTACTGCACATTCCTGTGAATTACTACACCTTAGTAACGGTACTCTTTTATTTCTAGCAGTATATGATTTGCACACCTCCAGGAACCCTATGTAGGTATAAAGAAATTGAAACTAAAAAATAGAATACCACATGATGCATAAATTAGTAGTTGTAAATACGTAGTGTTGTGTGCTGCAAATTAAACCACTTCCCTCATTTTTATTAGTCTTTCCCCAAACAACTTTGTATTCAGGTATAAGCCTATAAACTCCAAACAGAGGTACCTGAAACTGAAACTCACTTTAGTAAGTGATGGTGAAGTTAATGACAAGAACAACTTTATTTTTTTCTTTTATACTTGTTCAGGAAACTCAACAAGGCCCTGAGAAATGCAAGCTTAAATCAACAAACCCGCCCCCTTATATCCACAACTGGTTCAACAACTGGTCACACAAAGTAAAGCCCAGTAGTTCTGATAGGAAAGTCGTTTATTTGCTCGCTGGTGAGTGGCATTCTGACTGGGAAGGTGAATTCTGAAGAAAATAATAATTTCTAACAGGAAGAGATTTTTGAATACATGTGCAATTGATGCTGGGAGATTCAGACTTCTGTAACTGCACCCAGGGTTTTGATCCTGAACGTGAAATTAGCTGCTTTTTTAAGCAAGAGGAAAGGTCATGTGAGGTCAAGCACATAAAACCTATACAGCAATCACAGGTCTGGCACAGAGAATAATTTCCTGCTACTTTTAAGTATCGGGTTTCAGAATGCATCCTGTCTTGTTCACTTAATTCTTGCCCTCAAAGTAATACTTCTGACAATATGGATATTTTTGCGATGATACACCACTATTGACTTTACAAGTGTAAAAAAAGTCATCCAGATCACAAATGTACAGATCGGAGTCGGGATCTCTGAAATGTTATGAAACATTATGTTTGAGGTCCACGTTATATGTATATTGTATTGTATAAATATCAAATAGTTGCAGTATTGGAGCAGTTATGTTTTTATGATCTACGGTAATGCTTTTACTATACTGATTTTGCTGTGACCCTTATCAGAAATTGGAAAATACTTTTTTATTCAGTGGAAATTTTCCTCTGGCTTCAATGAGACAGTTAGAGCAATGTATATCCAGAGTACATCCAGTGAATTTTACAGATTGGTACATTCAAAGTACATAAATAATATCACGCAATACAGAAACGAGTGACTTAATAGTTAATAGATCAGCTTTATTGTCCCCTAGGGGAAATTGTTTATGGAAACACATTCAGTACTTCTGAATACATCACACATCACATCTATTGCACTTGCATAACTTACTAAAAAAAGAAAAAAATATTATTTTTCCAGAAATTTGAAGGGGCGCCTGAATTTATGGACAAACACTTGTTTCTCAAGCAAGAACAGGAAAAGAAAAGCATGGTGGCTCTGATCCAGTGAAAGAAAAGGGTATTTTCTGGTGTCTGGGACTGTGAAGCTCCGTTTTTCAAAGCACACGAGGAAGAACTGTAGACCTGCTATTCTGCTGGGAGCTGCGTTAAATTGCACCGAAGCTGCATAACAGAGGAAAAATTGTTCAGAACCAGAGGGACTTAACTGCTCAGTCAGGTCATGACACTGCCATGCTGTAACTACACTACGTTTTAATTGACGCCAATCTGTGATTACAGTATTATCTTTTCAGTTGTGGGTTGTGTTTCCAGTACAGACAAGATCAAGGGAGAAAGGATTCTTAGACTTTGAAAACACCTGGGTTCCGATTAATTAGTGAGTGCATTTATATAGCTCCTTTCAACACAGTGGATATGTATTGGCAGCACATACAGTTATTCTGGACCTCCATGGTGGGGAAAGCTCTCAGACACCTAAATATCTCAATTCCACTTACTCCCATTACATGTATCCTTGGTGTTTTATCAAAGGTTAAAATAGCTATTTGATATAAAAATACTTTTTTGTACTCTTTGTATTATTGCTAAAAAATGAATATTGCGAAAATGGGTGGACGGCACAGGACCGTCGTACAAAGAATGGATTATAGAGGCTGTATCACAAGTTCAATTTGAAAAGATTTCATATAATTTACAGGGGAAACTTAATTATAGGAATGTTTGGGGTCCATTAGCGACATACTTGAATGGCACCCGATGTTAAGAATATTAGTAGGGATTTAAAAAAATAATAATTTTCTTTTGTGACTAATTGTTTGTCGTTGTTATTGTCTAATATGAACGGAACTGAGAGAGTGAAAAATATATATAAAAAATAAAAAAGATATCCAAGGGCTTTACATATTAGAGCATCATCCTCCACCGTAGCTAAGGGCCTGCCTGATGCCAGAAGCCCCACTGTACAGCAGAACAGGTTGGGAAGTGAGAAATTGTCACTCCTGTGAAATTCATGTTGATCGTGAGGAAGGCCCGAATTGCCTGTTGCTAAGGTAACATAAAAGGTGGTCACTATGGCGAAGAAAAATAGTGAGGACATTGCTTTCCTGGTAAAATAGCTCGTTGGAATTGGGGAACTGTGAACTTTAAAGCAGAAAAACAATAAGGAGTAATTAATGCGCAGTTGTGCAGTGGAATGCAAGCACCTGCTTTGCACCCACAGACAGGCCTTTGTTTTGGTGCTGTGTAACCCAGGTGTGCTGGGAGATACCGTAATGTCTGACCAAACAAGAATATGGTGATTCTTGTACTGTGTACAATGTATGACTGCAACAGTAGCTAAACAATGTAGTGTTACCCAGTACTTCACACAATTGAATTGGTCAATAAAAAGCATTGTGTTGCAATGCAAGGTACACACCCCATTTGGTTTTGTGGATTGCATTAAAAAAAAAAAAAAGGCACCCTTATTTTTGGAGCAATTGGGAAAATAAGAGATAAGCTTTGCACGGTGTCGCAGGCTGACGCGGCCGAGCAGCTGTAAGTTTAAATTAAAGAGAGGAGAAATTTCATGCTGATTCCACAACCATGCATTGCGTCAAGTTAAATCCACCGCCAGCGTAACTGTGGCAGAAATTTAAATGCTCACCCGTGAGCGTAGCCAAAGATTGAAATGTGAATGGTGCCATTTCTAAATGAGGTTGACATTCCTATTCCAGGCGGCTGCTGTCTGCCTCACTGACTTGAGTCATTTTTCTGTTGGCCGTTTCCACACTATGGTGATTCTTTTGTGTTTTGACCATCAGATGTTCCTGTCAACATGCAGAGCGTTGGGTTTTGGGCATCAGCTGGCACTCTTGATTCTGTGCCCATCTGAAAGTGTTGAGCACAGCCCCTGTTCATTACAAACTGATGGCGGCCTTCCACTTGATATTAGGATCACAGTGCCGAATTCAGCCCAGGTTGACCCTTCTGGTCAAGGCCACCTTGTCGTTTAGGCTGACCTTTACCAGGTCAGGGGTCAAAGGGGAACTATGAGGGGAGGGAATGGGTTTTGGTGTCGTCAAAGATGTGTTGTGAAAGTGTGGCTGTTGTCCCTCTTTCCCAGTGTAATAGGCTGTTAAAGTTACTCCTGTGTTGTTGTTGAACGTCTTTGTTGAAATTTGAAACGTTTTTTTTATTCCACGTAGCTGACACCAACAATAATCCCCTTTCCGCAATTTCATGTCTAACCAGTTGTTCCAGCCAGTGGGACACGTTCTGCAGAAGTGAGCAGAACTGTAGCTTAGCTTAACCTTTTCAAGCTTCTACTGGCGAGACGTGGGAA